TGGGGTACACAGCACATAGCATCCATGACTGAGACCCTTTCACAAACATACTCAGCAGACATGTGGGAGGTTTCGGCAAGCAGACATGGAGGGGGGGGGTGCGGGGAGGGGGGGGGAGTTGTACATACTACAAAGCACATAGCAATGATAGCATCCATGACTAAATCGATAGGTGGGCAGGATAGACTTAGGACCTGGTGGGAGGTTAGGCAAGATAAACTTCGACCCGGTGGGAGGTTCAGCAAGATAAGCTTTCTGAACGGGAAGATAAACTATTGGTGTTGTAGAGGTTGGCAAGATCGACTTGGACCAAATGGGCTAGTCGGGAACGGGTGGGGGGACCCCAAGATAGACTTGGGCCCAGTGGGAGGTTCGGGAAGATGGGGTTGGGACCGGTGGGCTGTTCGGGAAGGTAGGCTTCGAACTGGGGAGTGCTGTGAGGGGTGTGGAAATGAGGCACCAGCAAAGCATTTTCTTTTATTATTATCATTATCATTATTATTATTATTAATATTATTAATATTATTATTATTATTATTATTTTATTATTTAATGTTTTAAACATCCAATAGTTTTCACACTGTTGGGAAAAGTGGGAATAAAATCTATACCGCATTCTTTCAGGGGTTGGGCCCAACAGCGGCCGCCGTTGATAAGGTTCATCGGTGGCCTATATTGCATTTCCGGCCCCCGCCGAAACTCGTGGGGCCTCGCCTGCGGACGATGTATGGGAAAGGTAGTGGAGGTTTATATTTGCAGACAGCCACTCACCAGAGTACAACATTGTGATTGTCGATCCTTGCATTTCGAGCGACCCATGTCGGCAGGCCCTCACCGATGCGCGGGTTCTGATTTGGGAAGTCACCTGTGCAAATTTTTGGGAGTTGGAACTCAGTCAATAATAATCCACCATATTTATTATTTATATTTAAAAACAAAACACAAACACAAACAAACAAACAAACAAACAAACAAACAAACAAACAAACAAACAAAAAAAAACGTTTGGACGAACGCTGACCCATGGGGTCTTGAACGTTTGGGCATTCAATTTGTGTTAAACATCGATTATCTACAGCCTGTCTCTTATACACATCTAGATGTGTATAAGAGACAGGGTATGCAGCGACTGCTCGTCTCAATTTTCTGAGTTGTCCACGGCTCAGCTGCCAGAAGGCCACTTTATACCATATCGCTGCGAAGATCGAGTTG